TGCCCCGCGGGAAAGCCGGGCTGGGGGGTGGGGGTGGCTGCAGGTTGTGCTTATTCCCGGGCGGCAGTGACAGACAGCAGTGACAGGTGAGGAGCACAGCTCTGAGGAAGGGCAGCCAAGGCTGCCCTCTGGCTTACACACACACAGGCACGCACGGTCACCCCTGCAGAGGGAAGGTGTGCGGCTCTGGGAAGTTTGCTTCCATGTTGTCTGTCTCTGGGACAGCCCCGATTTAATTGTCTTAGCAGTGAGCCCAGCCCGGTCCGTACCGAACAGGTGTAAGTGGATGTTCACAGTATCTGCTCTGGTGGAAATCAGAGACTTGGCAGTGTTACCGAGCTCAGTTATTAGCTCGTAACAGTCAGTCAGTGGAAGGCAAATCGCTGATCGTGGAACGGTTGGTGGTTTCGTTAGCCAAGGCTCCCTTAAGAAATAACCTCGTAGGGAGGTGACGGTGCACGCCTTTGCTCCCAGCACTCGGGAGGCAGAGGCAGGCGGATCTCTGTGAGTTCCAGGCCAGCCTGGTCTCCAGAGCGAGTGCCAGGACAGCCTCCAAACCCACAGAGAAACCCTGTCTCGAACACCCCACCCCAATAAAAATTGACCTTGTTTCCCCCACCATCATAAATTTAAATGCCACTAGAATTCCAGAAGCAATACTAGGCTAAAGGTCTGTTTTTTGTATGTGTGGGCACACACTCGAGCACGATTTATTTTTTTATTTATTTAGAAATAGTGTTTCTTTCACTCTGGGGAGCTGTCCTGGAATTCACTGTATACTCCTGGCAGGCTTCAAACTCTTGAGCCTCCCAAACACAGGAATGAGCCACCACACTAGTTTGTATTTATTAATTTCAGGCTAGTTCTCTTATTGTAATTTAAGTTCGTAGTAGAGGGCACTGTAACACCAGTAAAAGTTACCATTGTAAAGGATATTTAGTATTCATCCAGTTGAAAGAAATCTAGTTTAAAAAATAATCCATACCCCTTGTTATACATATATTGCTACATGCTGCTATGTAACCAGAAAATGTTACTTTCTTACTTCAAGTCTCATTTGGGTCAACATCGTGGTCTAAAATACCCCCAAAAAACTGAATGTGTGTGCTTATTTTGTCAGATTTACTTACTTTCTCTAAAAATGCAGAAGAAAGGGTCACTTAAACTGTAATTGCTGTGTATTCAAAATGATTTATTACTGATACCTGAGTGGTTGTTGCTTTATATTTGGATTGCGGATGTTTTCCTAAGATATTTTTGTTTCTAAATTACATTCAAGATTAATGCTTCATTGATCATAACAAAAATATTATCAACTCCATATCTACCAAGCATCAATTTTATGGATAATAAATGGAAACATTTACTTATAGGTGGGCTTCCCCTTGTCAGGACATTTCTGGGTCTTCCTCTTCTCTCCTGGTTTTCATTCCTTCCTTAGCTCCTGTAACTGTACAGTTGTTCATTACAACAAAACATGCATTTCCAGCCCCAGTTATGGAGTGGTCATGCATACTTATATTCAGAAGCATCATACAGTCACTAAGAGCTTGGTGTCGTTACAGTGATCTCTGTGCATGTGTCATCCAGCTTAACATTGTAAGGTTAGGAGCTGTCAGCTTCCCCACTTGATAGATAAAGAAATCGAAACTTGAAAGAATGGAATCATTTTCCAAAGGTAAAAGTGTGTCTGGTTCCTGATCAGCAGCTCTTTCTTAAACCTTTCAGGTCTCTAGAGAGAACTTTTGAAAATACAGTGGTTTCCCAGAGTACTTCAGTGTTTACTGTGAATTACAAAACCTTTCTAATGTGTCACCACATATATGAATTTGTCTATGCTGAACATTTTATATAGGTGAAATCATATAATGTGTATTTTTTGTATGACTCAGTTCTCTGTTTCAAAGTCCATGATACAGACTATCTCAGGACTTCATTCTTTCTTGTAGATGAATATACTTTAGTATGTGAACATGCCAGATGAAAACCTAGGTTATTACCATGTTTTGGGTCTGTGAATGAGGTTGCTGTGAGTGTTTGTGTATAGTTTATTTGACCATCTGATTTTAGTTTGGGGGCATGTACCTACAAGTGGAAATTAAACATCATTTCAGTTCTGTGTTAAATCTATGAAGAAATTACCAAACTGTGTCCATAGTGGCTATATCATTTTACATTTGTACCTACAGTCTACAAGGGCTCCAGTTTCTCCCATTCTTGTGAACACTTCTTTTCTGTTTTCTTTTTGTTTTTTGAGACAGGGTTTCTTTGTGTAACAACACTGGCTGTCCTGGAACTCACTGTGTAGACCAGGCTGGTCTCGAACTCCCAGAGATCTGCCTGCCTCTGCCTCCCAAATGCTGGGATTAAAGGCTGTGTGCCACCACCACCTGGTGTAAATACTTATTTTCTGTTACTGTAATCATACTCATCCTAGTGGATATAAGATGGAGTATCATTGTAATTTTGATTTGTATTTCCCTTAACAACAAGGTGTTGACACTTTTCCCCATGTTCTTTTTAGCTGTTTGTGTGTCTTCTTTGGAAAAACAAACGTCTTTTCACCTTTTTGCTGTTGGGTTATAAAAGTTCTTTATTCTGCATGCAAGTTCCTCATCAAATATGATTTGGAAATATTTTCCCCATGTTGTTTTTTTAATGCCTTATCAGATATAGGGGAGAGGTTTGGCAAGTTTTCCCTTTACAAAAGTAAAGGTAACATTAGAATGGGTTTTTTAGGGTTTACAGAGCATCTCTAAACTTACTACTCTTTCTCTTTATGTTCTGTTAGATGCAACATATACTCTTTATTTCCTATTAATAGCTGCTAATGGGACTGTTTATTTTACAGCTTGGAGCTGCAGTTGGCTTTTTGTTGCCACCTGTTTTAGTGCCCAACACACAGAATGATACAGACCTTCTGGTTTATAACATCAACACCATGTTTTATGGAACAGCATTTATCTCCACGTTTTTATTTTTTTTAACAGCAATTGGTAAGTGAATTGTTTGTCCTAAGGCTTAGATAAATGCATGACAAATATTTGAGAATAACTAACCCTGCAAAGTTTTGCTGATGGTGTCTCCAATGCTGTTTGTTTTGTTCTTGCCATGCAATGTCTCGCCCAGGTACTGAACGGAACAGCTCTAGGGATATGCGATGGTAACTCCATGTTTTGTTTTGTTTTTTAAACATTCTAAAGGGTCTGAAGACTAATCAATCCCATTTGCCTTTTTACTAACTCAACTTGGCAAGTGCTCACTTCAGACGCGCTGCCTGGCTTCCCGCCCATATTCATGTGTGTGGTGTGCATCTTGTACTTACCAAGCCTGCAGCTAGTTCCCGTCATGCTTTGAAATGACGCAAATGGGCTACCACCTTCCCCTTCATAGGAAATTCCCCTAGGGATCCCCAGTTTAAGATTAACTGGGTCTGAAATTGTTGACCTGTGAATGAGCCTGGGCAGCATGAGCTGTTCAGAATTTCAAACTGTGGCAACTGTCTGCTTGTTAGGCCACTTCAGCAAAGCCCGGCTGCCATCATCCGTCCCTGAGTCCTCTCGTCTGGGCCTGTCTTTTGAAGGAGTCAGTCAGAGTCAGCTGCAAGCAGCCATCACCAGCTTGGAAGAAGCTTTGGGAAGGTCTGCTTTTTTTTTTTTTTTTTTTTTTTTTTTTTTTTTTTTTTTTTAGTTTGTTTTTAAGGGGAAGCAATTTTGATTTTAGGGGAGAAGATAGGCAAGGTATATCTAAAATGCATTGCTGTTGCTGTAACTGGAGTAGTGCCTGAGTTAGACACTCAGTATCTCTTTAGGCTTTAGATTTACATATTAAACTTTTACCTTGCTATGATTATTAATATTTTGTGATCTCCAGATATGAAGTTTGCGTTTTCAGAGAAATATCTGCCGATTACCTGGGTAGGTGAGCTGCAGGATCAGGTATAGGAAGCTCAACCCACATCTGTAGTTGCCCTTTCGATAATGAACGGAATGTTCTCTCAGTGGCATCTGAAGTATGCCAGTGAGTGTGGTTGGCTTCTCAATCTTTATCTTTGCAGTTAGCCGGGGAGTGGCATATTTGTACTGTGCACACTGCTGAAAGGGCAAGTTTTTCTTGTACTGTTAGTATTTTAACAAAGTTTTAAAAGAAATCTATACTGGTGAGCCTCTTAAATCTGCTTTTCCGGTTGGTGTATTTCGCTCCCTTGACGAGGCGGGAAATACTGCTTCTATACACTCCAGAGAAATGGGTCTTGTGCTTACAGTAGGTTTAAGTACAAAATGTCTTTCAACCATTTATTGAATCTTCAGTTAAGTTGAACTTCTCTTCACAGACATGAATGATTAATTACATAAGACATCTTCATAAATAGAAAGACTGGAGAGGTGGCTCTTGCAGAGGACCCAGAATCTGTTCCCAGCACCCGTGTCATTGGGTGGCTCACAGCATCCTGTAATTCCAGCTACAGGGAGGGGATTTGACTTCTATTTCTGACCTCTGTATGCACTGCAATCACATGAACAAAACCCAAGACACACATACACAAGGAGTTAAAAGTTAAAATGTCTTTAATTAATCGTCAATGGAAAGACAGCTCAGAGGTGAAGAGCACTCCTGCACTTGTTGCTGTTGTAGAGAACCAGGTTCAGTTCCCAGCATGCACATGTAGCTAGCTAGCTATCTCACAGCCACTTGTAACTCCAGCTCCAGAGAATCTGATGCCCTCTTCTGAGCTCCATGGACACCAGACATTAATGGTGTACATAAAAACATGCAGGCAAATCACTCATACACATAAAATAAGTCTAAAATAAAAATAAAATTTTAAAAAATATCTCTAGTTGAAGTTTTTTTTTACATGATATGTATATCTATATAAAAACTATTACAAGTAGGTTTTTGAGTTTTCAAAGACAGGAGAAAGAACAATAGAATAGGTATGACTATTGGTTTATTATCATTTGTAGTTTGAGAAATTAAAGATTGAACTATTTATATATCTAATTAATTATTGATGTACTTGTGGCTTATGGGTTGAAAGTGGAAATAGAACTGGAGGTGTAGAAACAATGGAATAAGAAGGGCTTGTTTTCAGTCTGTCTTAGTGTCCTACGTTTTTAGTCTTATAACTCTAGACACAGTATAAAAGCAACCTAAAATTAATCACGGTGGCTGGAGGATCAGGAGTCCAAGGTTCTCCTTGGCTACAGGAAACCCTGTCTCAAAAAAAAAAAAAAAAAAAAAAAAAAGCAAGAGACTATTATTATTGTTTGGAAATTGTGGCATTAAATAGAAAGGCAACTTGTGTCATCGTCAGATATATTTGCTGAGGAAGAAAACTGAATTTGCAAATTCTTGCTTGAGGTGTCTTATTTACTAAAAGAGATGAGCTTACAGCCTTCTAAATTCTACTGATAATTACTTAAAAGTTCAACCAAATCCATGTTAATTTATGTCTATACTTAGCAGTTTTTAGTAACATGACACATTAAACTTGAATTCATCAGTCTCCCTCAAAGACTTCCTTAAAGATTCACCTTGTGTGGCCTTCCTTGTCCTTGAGGGGTGTGTATGTGGATGGAACCTGCTGGGAATCCTAGCAACTGACCCTACCCTTCCACTGAATCCACACGAATTCCTTATTCTTGGAGAATCTCGCCTCTCATTTGTGAGGCAGACGTGCACCAAAACGTGGGAGGATGCACACCACGTGTTGGTTCTTATGCCTCAAGATTCTTTACCAGCACTCAGGAGGCAGAGACAGGTGGATCTCTGTGAGTTCGAGGCCAGCCTGGTCTACAGAGCGGGTTCCAGGACAGCCAGAGCTTCATGTAGCACTGAGTCTGCCCCTCTAATGTTGTGTAGCCAGTGGGTACAGAAGTCTGCCCTTCTAACGGTACATCATTGGTAGGTACGGGTTACATTTGCCAAGAGATAGTTCATCTCTCTGGAACTAGAGGATGATACTTATAACTGAATGGAGCTAAAGACTGGTGGGGATGGTTTTTAATTTATGTAAGTTTTAATCCACATCTGGTTCATTTTGATTTGTTTTGCCATAGTAAATTAAAACCTTGGAAAGATATTTAAGATTTACTGGAGACTCATGGCTACATTTATTTATAGTCTGAAACCTTGATTTACTACTGTGAAAATTTCGTATTACCTATGCTAACAAAAAGAAATATATCTCCTACCCAACTAGGCTACAGAGAGACTGGCAGGACAGACACGAGGCCTCCTAACAGTGCAAGGATCAGATAGGGAGAAAGGAAGAGGAAGAATTGCAGCAGCTAAAGTTTTGTGTCCACCAGGCTCCAATGTAAGGATGCTACAAATAAGTACCTATGAGTTCTGTCCCTCCTGAACTAGTTCTGAGCTCTGGAATAGATGTATATATACTTAGTTTGGTTTTAGTCACATCATAATTTTTTCCAACAAAAACTTCAATTTTTTATTTTTAATCAGCAAATAGAGAGATGACTCAACATTTTGTGGGCGTTAGAAGGATTGCCACTCCCCCGTAACTCTTAGATATGTCTGTGTATTTGGGAATGTCCAGGAATTTCTGTGTTTAAAGTCTCATATTCCATCCTGGAGATTCTGCTTATTAAAATTTGTATAGAGTCTCAAAATCAGTATTAATTTTAAATTTCCAATCAGAGGCATCAGCCCTAACCCACTTCAAATTGCAAGTAAAGTAGGCCTCTTCCAACCAAGAAGAACTTGCTGTGAAAGGGAGAAGAGAAAAGGGGAAATGATGACAGGGAGGAGGGGCGGGGCTCTGTTGGGTAACGGTTTCTCTGAGAGAAGAGGAGGGAGGTGGAGGGAAACACAGAATTACACTCCTTTAGAAAACATGACGTCACCCATGTGCTTCTCTCCTACTTTTTGACTTTACCTGTGAATTCTAAATTACATTTTTCATGAATTTGCTGATGTGTACATCTGGGGTCTCTGGTAATAGAGACATGGGAAGGTCACTGAATCCAAGCATTCCGCTCTCCCAAGGGACTGAATTTAGAAGTCAAATCCTTGATATAGTAAACATTGATCTTGATTATAGAAATGGAGTTATCAGTGGGCAAAGGTATCTCATTGCCAGTAGTTTTTCAGTTCAAATGAATTAGCCAGATCTCTGAGTTTTACTTCAGAGAGCTAAAAGGAAAATGCCAAACTATTCTTCACTTAGAAGTCAGTGAAGATAAAAAAAAAAAAAAAAAAAAAAACAGAAAACAAAAAAAAAAACTTTGCCATAAAAGACTTTGACTACCTCACTACTTCTAAACTAGATTCTCTCCTCTCACTAAGAAAGGAGATATTTAATCGTGTGTAGTGTGTAGGTGTAATATATGTACATTAGTCATGTATGATCCTTTTCACACATGTTCCCAGTGTTCACGGAAAAGCCTCTGCTGCCACCAAGTCAGGCTCAGGCAGCTCTGCGAGACAGCCCTCCTGTGGAGTACTCCTACAAGATTTCCATATGGAACCTGTTCAGAAACATCCCCTTTGTTCTGCTGCTGCTCAGTTATGGTAAGTGGCATTGTGCTCACTGGTGACCATGTACACTGAATTTTTCTTTTCTTTCTTTTGTTTTTTCCGGAGACAGGGTTTCTCTGTGGCTTTGGAGGCTGTCCTGGCACTCGCTCTGGTTGACCAGGCTGGTCTCAAACTCACAGAGATCCGCCTGCCTCTGCCTCCCGAGTGCTGGGACTAAAGGCGTGTGCCGCCACCGCCACCGCCACCCGTCTTCATGTACACTGATTGATTGATTGATTGATTGAGCACTATGGATTCTTTTATTGAAATTAGTGGCTTGAACATTAGTGAGGTCGATTCATGCACTCCATAGCATAATCATGAACTTAAGTGTGGAGCTAAAGGCAAAAGCACCTAAAGGGGTTTTTGTTTTTCTTCTATGTTTTTAAAATAATAATAATAAAAAAGGAGATCTCGGAAGTACTATATGCTTTTTGAATCCTGGTGCAGTGTTACATCTAGAATGTAGAAGTTCTACTTGCAGATATATTTAGAGAAACCTACCCTGTGTTTAGGAGTCAAATCTTAATATCAATTGCAGTCTCACTTTAAATATTGAAAACCTGGGGGGAAGGTTGTGAAATGCATATTGATAAGACAACAGGTAACTGAATTGAAATACATTCACACTATGGACTATTACATAGTAGAGAAAACCAATGAACTAGAATACAAAGTGTCACTATGAACCACAAGACAAACAGTTGAGTGGTTAGACCAAGTTATAGATGAACACTATTTATAAAGTTTATATGCAGAATAATTCTAATTATTCATGAAGACACATATGAAACTAAAAACTCCAAGATCAAAATAGGAGTACTTTTGGAAAAGAAAGCATAGAAGAGGGAAATTAACCTGAAGCAAAGATGGCACTGAGGTAACACCTGACAAAGATCAGTGACGAGAGAGTATATTATTCACTGTGGTCTGTGCGTGCTTGAACACTTTACAGTAAACGAGGATGACATAATAAGTTTAAATCTCAGCTATATTACCAATCCAGTGCCTTCGACAGAGGGCACACCAGGGTTTGAGACTTTGAGACGGCACATTCCTGAAAACCAGCTGTGTACATTCTTCTCTGTGTTCTTTTATTCTCTCATGAATTGCCATATAAGCCTTTGCTTCAAGCGTAAGGTCTCTGAGACAAGCATTCTGTTACGTTTTAATGATATTTTTTTGTTTTTTGTTTTCCTTAAGGGGTTGTTTGTTTGTTGTTTAGTGGGGTGTGGTGCTGGGAACCAAACCAAGGGCTTATGCATACCAGGCAAACCCTGTCATTGAGCCCTGCTGCACTTTGAGCACCACTGGCTGTAGCTCGTGATACTTGACAGTAAATGTTGGCTTGAGTGGTGCCATATGCAGAGTTACGTGTGCAGACATGATTTCTGATCCACATGCCTGAATCAAAATAATGTAACAAAATCCTAGTTTCCGTTTCTGCTGCTACAACAAAATGTCCAGTGTTGGATATTCTATAAAGAAAAGAGGTGTGTATCTTTGAAAAGTTCAAGACGACGTCGTCCCATCTGCTCAGTCGCTGCTGAGGAATCCTTGGGAGCATGATGACAGGGGTAAAATACGACTTTGTGCCAGGGAGGCCAAGCTGTTTAGTGACCTCAGCTAATAACAGACTCACTCCATGAGACCTAAATGAATCTTTCTGAGGAGCCCCTGGGCCTCATCTCCTTGTTCTAGGCCCCACCTCTTGACGGTTTCATCGACTTTGCCCTGCCCATGGGGAAATTCCAGCACGGATCTCTCGTAAACATAGTGTTCCATCCATCTGTCCATTTTGTGAAAGGCTACAGTGGTGGTGTTTGCTCTTCTTGATGGTCTGAGAACATTACATATCATGCATATTACACATTATACACATTACACATTATACACATTACACATTATACATATTATACATTATACATTATACACATTACACATTATACACATTACACATTATACATATTACACATTATACATATTACACATTATACATGTTACACATTATACATGTTACACATTATACATATTACACATTATACATATTACGTAGTGCTCCTTATTGTTTCATAGAATGATGAACTTACTTCTTTTCCTCATAGGTATTATGACTGGAGCATTTTATTCAGTTTCAACATTATTAAATCAAATGATTTTGACATATTATGAGGTAAGTTTTGTTTGTTTTGCTTTCTGAGACAGAGGTTTTAATGGAACACTGGCGTGTTTGGAACTCATTATATAGACCAGGCTAACCTAGAACTTGAAATGACTTTTCTGCCTCTGTCTCCCCAATGCTGGGATTACAGGCATGTGCCACCATGCCTGTCAAGCTTCTGTTTTTAAATTGTATGCTTGACCCAGACTTTGTCTTTAACAGTATAGTATAATTTGCCTTAGGGTCCTTGTTGATGTAAAAGACTGATGTCTGTGTTTTAAAAGGCAGCATTCCATCCACAGCTAAGAGAGAGAAAAAGCTGAAGAAAGCAGACTCAGGATACAAAAGGCAGAATGGGTCTCACAGTTAGAGGGGCCAGATTCCTGAGTTGTCGGTGTGATGCCTGGCACATCACACCGTTCTCATTTGCTCTGGTCCCCTGGACTTAGTGTGTAAGTGCAATCCAAAATTACTATCTCCCATACTTTTTATTAAGCCTATTTAACCTAATTTGCAAAACACACATTGAAAGTAAAGATTATTAGCATTGTGGCAAACCTTAATTTGGTTATATGGAAAAACACAAAACCTTGTAAGGGATGTAAGCTTAAATGTCAAGGTTAGACTGGCCTCTCTCTTAAAAAGGAGCTGGCACTTCTACTATGTAAAAGTGTTGCCCTTTACTCTCTGTTTGCACATGTATAAATGTTTTCAGAGTCTTAACGAAAAGTAAGTACAACCACGGAGTACCCAGAAAATGTTTCCTTTTTTATTTATTATTTTATAATCATTTTTGTTGTTGCTGTTGTTTTAAAATACCTTCAATAAACCACCCTCTCCAAAAACAAAACTGTAGCCCATGTAGGGAATCTTTCTATTGTGTGCTTAATTTTATGTGATTATTTCCAGTAACCATGTAAATGGATAGGAATATGAACCACCATTTTGAATTAGAAATATCTGATTGTCAAATTGTTTTAGGGAGAAGAGGTTAACGCTGGAAGGATTGGGCTAACACTGGTGGTAGCTGGAATGGTGGGCTCTATTCTTTGCGGCTTATGGCTGGATTACACCAAAACCTACAAGTAAGTTGCAGTAGGTCTGTGCATGGTACATAAGTGAAGATATATTGACTTTAAAGAATGGGTTTCACTAGGTAGCTCAGGCTTGTTTGGAGCTCATCATCCTGCTTCAGCTGCCCAACTGCCAGGATGACAGCATTGTACCACCACATCTGCCTAAGGCTAGGGAGGCAGTGTTTCAATGGTCTACCTACATGAATGCTTTACAAACCTTCCTACCGCTTTGTAGGTTGTTTCTAGCTAAAAAGAGCCCTCCTGAGGAAGCGCCAGGTTCCAGACAGACTTTATCTTGTCTTTTTAAACGTAAAAAAAAAAAAAATGTTATTTTCTATGGAAAGATTATTGTTGAGCTAGCTACATTATCCACAGATAAGAAAGAGTGGTTTCCATTTTTCTCTGTGCCCTAGGAAAATCAGAGGGAAACTATTAATAATTTTGTCTTTGTTTTAGACAGACAACTCTGATAGTGTACATTTTGTCTTTCGTTGGAATGCTCATATTTACCTTCACGCTGGACCTTCAGTACATCTCTGTTGTGTTCGTTACTGGTGGGATCCTTGGGTAAGTGTCAGGTGTGTAGAAGAAATAACACCTGCCCCCATGATTCTGAAGGAGCATGCAAAAGGCCCTCCAAAAGTTCTTTAGATATTTTGTACTCTAAAAGTTCCATTATTTACTTATGAATGTACAATTCCTTAGAACTATAACAAAAATGTTTGGCCAGGCAGTGGTGGCGCACGCCTTTAATCCCAGCACACGGAAAGTAGAGACAGGTGGATTTCTGTGAGTTCGAAGCCAGCCTGGTCTACAGCGTGAGTTCCAGGACAGGGTTCAAAGCTATACAGAGAAACCCTGTGTCAAAAAAAAAAAAAAAAAAAAAAAAAAATTTAACTATTTTGGTATGCCTTTGGTGAAAAATAGATGAGCCTTATCAGCCAAAGTGGCTGCCCCTGTCATAACCCAGTACCTTGTGGTCTTGCTCTTCTAGCTTCTTCATGACTGGCTACCTCCCTCTGGGCTTTGAGTTTGCTGTTGAGATCACTTACCCTGAGTCTGAGGGCACGTCCTCTGGGCTCCTCAATGCAGCCGCACAGGTAATCCTCCCTCTGCTTCATCTTAGCCACATTGGGGGCGGCAATTCCAAGCACTAGGTAGACAGATGCAGGAGGACCAGGATTCCAAGGCCAGTGTTAGCTGTGTAATGTGTTTGAGGCTAGGCTGGCTACATGAGACTTTGTCTCAAAAAAAAGAGCAAACAAAATCACAGAAAGCAAGGTGATTCCTATGGTCAGGGAGCAGTGAGCTTGGCCTGACTTTGTGGTTTAATAATCCTGATTTTCAGTGGTTGTTTCTAGAAGCCCAGTCATAAGGAAAGGCGGTTAAGGAGGGTTCTGGGGAGGGGGGTGTCCTTGTTTTCAAACAGCAAACTTAACAAAAGTGATTTCACGGATTTTACTTTAGATATTTGGGATTTGGTTCACATTGGCTCAAGGAAAGCTCATGTCAGACTATGACCCCATGGCAGGAAACATTTTCCTCTGTGCCTGGATGTTCTTGGGCATCATACTGACAGGTGAGTGCTGAGTGTGCTGCCTGTATTCCGTTCTGGGCCGTGCTGTTTCATGGCGTTGCAGAAGTTAAGAATGAGAATAAGAAGCAGAGCACAGTTTTCCTCTTAGGGTGTGAGTCTGTCCTTTCATTTTGGCGATTCCAAATTTAATACCATTACTCTGCATAAAAGACAGTTCTGGGGCTGGAGAGATGGCTCAGCAGACCCAGGTTTAATTCCCAGCACTCAAAGGGTAGCTCCCAAGAGTCTAACTCTAGTTCCAGAGAATGGAATGCCCTCTTCTGGCCTCCTGGTACTGCACAGACATAAATGCAGGCCATACACTCATATATGTAAAATAAAATAATCCTAAGAACTTATAAAAACTGTATAAATTACTTAACTTGTGTGTAAGTTGTCTTATCACCTTCTTCTTGGACGCGGGCATCTCAAACCTCCGTATTCAGAGCCGAATTCACTGTGTTCCTGTTTCAGTTAGTACTGTGGTCCATGCAGCCGACCACACGAGGACATTCTAAAGTCACCACTCTCCTTCCCTTACTACAGCCCCGCCCCACACGCTGTATTCGCTAGCTGAGGGGTCTCCTCAGCTGCAGCTGTGGGGCTGACCATCCCAGCGTGACCACCGTGTGTTACATGTTATGGTAGAAAAGGAGACAGTGACCAGGTTGTGTAACTCTCGGTGCTTGTGTTTCAGCGTTGATCAAGTCTGACCTGAGAAGGCACAACATAAACATGGGACTCACGAACGGCGACATTAAAGCTGTGAGTAGCATTTTAATGGCTTGACTCTGACTTTACAGGGTAAATGGGAAACCATTCTTGTTTAATCAGTAACTTTTTTTTTTGTTGAGTCAACAATTAACTGTTAGACAGTCCTCGATTGGCTGTTAGACCGTCAACAATTGTTAGACAGTCAGCGATTGGCTGTTAGATTCCATGTCAGGTGTGATACATCCCTTCAGTGTCAATTATTTCTACAGGTGACAGTTGACAGTCTGATGGATCAGAAACCGAGAGTGGTGATGCTGTCCAAGCAGTCAGAATCCTCACTCTGAAGAGAGCACAGCACCTGGCCCTCAGCATAGGGTGTGGCTGCATCCTAGGGAGCCGTGTGAGCGGTGAGGACGCTTACGTGGAAATTATGGGCTCAACTCTGAATATTATTTTGTTTTATTGTTGCTTACATCGTGTTAACACTACCGTCATCTAATGCCATTATTTTCAGTTGTGTGTTGTGTCTATGAAAACATTCCTGACTTTTTTCAGGATGTTTTGTTTTTTATGGGGCTCTAGTTCCCATAAGACACATAAGACTATGCAGTTCCTACATAAGCATGCCCAATGCGTTTCCAGTTAGCTGTCGTATCACTGTGCTGACCGTGGCAGACATCACAGTGTGAGCACTGAACACCATCTGGAGGCCCCAACTCGCTTGAGGACAGGGCTGGGATCGGGATTCCAGAGGAGCCCTCAGATTTCCCCATCGTGTGTGCTCTTGTTATACAGTGCGGTGACACATTCTGTTCCACACAAAACAATAGTTGAATACACAGATTAAATCTGTTACACTCTGGTGAGCTAAGGGGTGAGGCCCACAAAGATCGGCTGGAGTTCCTCCCTGTGCTGCCTTCATACAGACAAATGGTAATCCTGTATTTTTCAGTGCAGCTTGAAATAGAATAGTTTTCCACCCATTGTCTATTTACTCCCTTTCAAGAAAATGTCATCATCTGTGTTAAGGATAGCTAATGGTTTCTTGCATCACATCTGTGTTTCCTTTGGCAATACCTAAGATAAGGAGTCTGTGATAACGTCAGAGAGCCCACGTGTCTCCATTCTGTGGAGAGCCCTTGAAATACTGGCTGCTGTGTTTCTCTTGAGAGTTGTCACGTGTTCTGTGAGTGCTGGGAACAGGCTCTCCTCCACCACAGAGTGCATGTCGTCACCACTCTGTGGACATGGTCTCTCTTTTTACATGCTCAGGGCAAGGAGAATGGGCCCAAGTGAGTTTTCACAGTGCCTACCACTGTGTCTTGTTTACAGTGAGAATTAATTGTCATTGATGTTCTGACATTTTATTGACAATAATATTTAAATAGTGTAATTTTGTAAATTTTATGAAAAATTTACATAATATCAAAATGCACACAGAAAAGCCAATCATGTAATGAATATGCTTGAAGCAGATGTATCTTTGATTTATGCAAAATATGCATTGATTTATTTTGATATTCTGTTTCATCAAATTGCTATGAGCTATGTGGAATCTGACACTGGAAAATGTACTAGGAAAACTTTATATCACTCAGGATTGGGAATTCTGAGTCCTTGGTGTGTTTCTATCATGGTAACCCTGGACACATCATTTAACCTCTCTGGAAGCATTTTCATGATCCATGAAATAAATGCTTTCACTGTGATCCAAAACAATGGTTTTCGGGGAGTAGAACAACCCTTTTGCAGGGACTGCATATCAGATATTTATATTACGATTTATAGCAGTAGCAAACTTACAGTTATGAAGTAGGAACGAAATAAGTTTTATGGTTAGGGGGTCACCACAACCTTAAGGAACTGTGTTAAAAGAGTCGCAGCATTAGGAAGGTTGAGAACCACTGATCTAAAAGATGTTTTGCTGGGCAGCGGTAGCTCACACCTTTAATCCCAGCACTTGGGAGGTAGAGGCAGGTGGGTCTCTGTGAGTTCGAGGTCAGCCTGGTCTACAAAGTGAGTTCTAGGACAACCAGAGCTACACAGAGAAACCCTGTCTTGAAAAAGTAAAAACAAACAAATAAAAAAAATCTTTTAGAAATAATGTCATTCAAAATGGAATAGACCAAATCACTGGAGCACAGGAACTTAGGACTCTAGCTAGAGAAGAGCTCCATGGACAATGGAGCACACAGTGTGACTGCTCCTGTGTACACACAGGGAACTTTTAACCTTGCTAGTCAGTCTGCGGTAGTTCAGGCAGAGTCTGTGTAATCAGTAACTTCTTTTGATATTTATGTCACAGGTTGAAAACAACCAAAAATACAGTCTCCCCCGACTGTTTCTATTTTTAAATTGACAGTGCTGTTTACAACAATCTTGTACTTGTTGATTGATTTCCTGAAAATCACAGATGAAAGTTGGGATACTTAATGCTTGAAAAGCATATGTGTGCACTGTTTGTCACTGTTTGGAAAAGGGATAAAATATGATGTAATAGTGCAAAATAAACTAATGGTGTTCTCAGTATTTTAAGAGAATGTTATGGATAATATATCAGGTGAGAATTTGATATAATTTTGTGTCATGGTTTTATTAGTAGTAATTGTCACCTGTGTCAATTTTAATCAGATGATTTTAGGAACAAAACTAGATGGCCTCAGAAGCTGATGCATTTGTAAGATGTTATGAACATAGCTTTTGTCTTTTGAGAATGTTGGAGAAATGTCTTGTGTGAAAATGTTTGTGTTAATAACTTGGACAGCCCCTGTGTCTGATGTCTTCATTCCTGTTCTTATTTTTGCTATTTTTATAATTTCCTTATGTGCTTGTTCCTCATTATTTCATACTTGAAATAAATTTATTTTTTTAATGCTACTCTTGTATGTCTTTTAAAAATGAGTTCTGGTGCCTGGTATATGTGGTAAGTTAGAAAGTGATTATATGATTTTACAGTGAACCACCGAGAAACAAGTCCACTGTGACCAGCACTCTGAAGAAAATAAAATATTTTATTTACTTAAAAATAATGTAAGAGGGGGCTGGAGAGATGGCTCAGAGGTTAAGAGCACCGACTGCTCTTCCAAAGGTCCTGAGTTCAATTCCCAGCAACCACATGGTGGCTCACAACCATCTGTTATGAGATCTGGTGCCCTCTTCTGGTGTGCAGATATACATGGAAGCAGAATGTTGTATACATAATAAATAAATACAATCTTTAAAAATAAATAAAAAGTAATAATAATAATAATGATGATGTAAGAGTAGACTGGGACAGTGGCCTCACTGAGGACTTGAGTTTTGTTGCTAACATCCTCATCAGGTCACAACCGTCCCAGGGATCCAGCGCCCTCTTGTGGTTTCCATGGGCAACTGCACTCACGTGTATATGCCCCCACACATGTGCATAATTTAAATAATAAAAACAAATGTAACAAGAATCCTAACAGCTTAGAGAGGCTGACTTCAGCAAGACAACAGAGCATTATCCTTAGAAGCGTCATTTCTCACACTCCTCATGGGTGGCGCTTTTGTTGGGGAGCCAGAAATCCAGTGAAGCGGTTTCAGCACAGACAAACAGGAAACCTCTGAACGGACACACTGAAGAAGGTAAGACAAGTTCATTTTAACCACATACCCTCACCCAGAGTGGCACATCAGGGTGCCAGGAAAGACTCCATCAGAGAGCACAGAGAGAACACTCACTTCATCACCTTTGTAGAAAGCTCCGCCTTCTAACTGGCCCAACCAGGATAGTGAGTGACCAGTGTAGCTGAATGTCGGAGAAGGCTGGAAGCAGAGAAGAAAGACAGGGAGCCTTCAGCCCACTCCAGACTTCATCAGGAAGCCACTTGGGATGCCTCACCTGTGGACCTCGGGCATCCCATTACTATGTATGCCATTCCCTTGATCAGTCAGGCTGGCTCCCCAGTCATGTCCACATGGATAGTGGCTACAAGTATCTTGGGCAGATAGTTGCTCAACTTGACGGTGCTAGAAGGCACCCAGACTAGGGAAAGCAAACAGGAAGCTAACGACACCTTGCCTGGCTTTTCAGGATGGAGAACTGACGGGACAGGTGTGAGGAGCAGGTAGGTCCATAGCAAATGTCTGAGGCTCAGAGGCCCTGGCAAGGCTCATCTGTGCATTCTCTCCTTAAAGGCAGTTAGTGTAGCCTGGAGAGGAGCCAGAAACATGGCTCAGTGCTTAAGGTGCCCTCTGCCTCCAAGCCTGGAAACCCGTGTAAGATTGCTCCCCAGGATCCATGGTCAGAGGAGAGAACTGACTCACACCCAAGTTAGCCCCTGACTGCCACACATGATCTGTAGCATGCCTGAACCAGCATGTCTGTGTACACATACACAGAGGCTCAAACACAAACTTAAAAAATAAAATACTTAAAAACAATTAATCTAGAGGAGGTGTAGTTTCTTAGACTTACTCGGTAGTGAAAGACTTGGAAACAAAACCAAAGCTGGGTGTATGTGATAGATAGCTCATGCCTGCCTGCCCCACATTGCAGAGGCAGTAAGAGCAAGTTTCAGGGCCACCTTCAACTTTGTAGTGAGCTTGAGGCCAGCCTGGGCTACATGAGACCCTGTCTCAGAAACTTAATGTTTATTTTAAATAAAATTTAAAACAAGGGCTGGAGAGATGGCTCAGAGGTTAAGAGCACCGACTGTTCTTCCAGAGGTCCTGAGTTCAATTCCCAGCAACCACATGGTGGCTTACAACCATCTGTTATGAGATCTGGTGCCCTCTTCTGGAAGCAGAATATTGTATACATAATAAATAAATAATTTTTTTTTTTTAGAAAAAACAGCTTCTAAGATAAAAAGGGGGGAACTGTGCCCCCAGTCTCCACATGATGCATTAAAACCATGCACTGTTTATAAGAAAAAAATTTAAAACAAACCTGCCAGGTGTTGGTGGCACACGCCTTTAGTCCCAGCAGAGGCAGGGGGATCTCTGAGAGGTGGAGGCCAGCCTGGTCTACAGAGAAAGTTCCAGGAAAGCTACACGGAGAAAACCTTTCTTGAAAAACCAAATAAATAAAAATAAGCCAAGGAAACATGAGACCACAAAAGAAAACAATAATAATCCAGTAACAAAGTCCAAAGAAATTGAGTTTATAAACTTCCTTTCGAGGAATTGAAATCATTTATTTTGCAGTGCTGGGATCACATCCAAAAAAAGCCATTGTCCTAAGTAAACTCAGTGTGTGGTTTGAATGAGACATGACCGCCATAGGCTCATTAGTTTATTTGCACACTTTGTCCCCAGTTGCGGGTGCTATGTGGACGTTACGTAAGCTCTAGGAGTCGACTCTTTCTGAAGGGAGTACGTGTTAAGGGTTTAGAGTCTTGACCCCGTATCTGTACTCTGTGAGGATGAAAATGTGATCCGACAGCTTCCCATTGCTGCTGCCATGCTCTCCCTGACTGCTGCCTTTACACCACGATAGAATCTGTTCCTACAGAACCGCAAGCCTTTGAATACCATAAACCCAACTCACTGGGCTGTGCTAATATAAAAAAGCTTGGGAAACCGTAAAGCTGAGGACTGCATGGAGGCTCAGCTCATGAGATCCCAGAGGGAATGAGAGCTTCCTAGAATTTAGACTAGAGCCTGCATTCTTCGGGTAACCTGAGAATTTGCCTAAGGCTAAATAATACACACACACACACACACACACACACACACGAGTGTGTATTCTCAGCTAATAAAATATACTAGAAATAAAAATGTAGCCAGGTGGTGGCACACACATTTAGTCCCAGCACTCAGGAGGCAGAGGCAGGCAGATCTCTGTGAGTTGAAGGCCAGCCTGGTCTACAAAGTGAATTCTGGGACTGTTTCAGAGAAACCCTCTTTAAAAAAAGCAAAAATAAAATAAAATAAAAATAAATAAAAAGGGGCTGGAGAGATGGCTTAGAGGTTAAGAGCACTGGCTCCTTTTCTGGAGGGACTGAGTTCAATTCCCAGCAACCACAGGGTGGTTTACAACCATCTGTAGTGAGATCTGGTGCCCTCTTCTGGCCTGCAGGAATAATGCAGGCAAAAGGCTGTATACATAAAAAATAAATCTTTTTTAAAAATGTTTTTAAATTTTTTAAAGATTTATTTATTTACTATGTATGCAGAAGAGGCATCAGATCTCATTAGGGATGGCTGTGAGTCACCATGTGGGTACTGGGAATTGAACTCAGGACCTCTGGAAGAGCAGCCAGTGCTCTTAACCTCTGAGCCATCGCTCCAGCCCCAATAAATAAATCTCAAAAATAAATAAATACATAAATAAATAGGTAGTGTACTTTGTTTGGCAGAGGAGATTCCAAAAGAGCATAGCACTGAACCTCTGTCATGGATATTACTAATTATTCTTATGCAGGTTCACAATGAAAAAGGAACAAAGGAAGACAAAAAATTGAAAAATGTAGTTGGAGAGAAAGGCACTAGGACTCTTAGGATTCCAGTCAGTCACACACTGGAGGGGCCTGGGATGGGGAAAGGGATTAACATTAAAGAATCCTCCTGTCCTGCTCAGTAGTGAAGCTGTCCAAGGTCAAGACCACGCCCAGCTAAGCCCCACCCCTTGTAGGAATTGCTTGCTCCCAGAAAGCAACTGTCTAAGCAAGTTTTCACCTGCTTCAACGTGCAGCAGCTGTGGCAGCTGTGGTCTAAGGGACAGCAATAGAGCAGAATTTAAAAATGAAATTAGAAGCAAAACTGCCTATGTCAGGGCTTCCCCAGGTCAGCAAACAGGGCGTGACGAGGCTATGGGTCAGTGCTGCCACATGAAGTCTTTGGACGGCAGTAGAATTTTGTGGTGCTGTTCGTGTGGTACTGGTTTTATAGGTATAAAAAAAATCCAAGATTGAAGGGGAGTCATGGAGTCACGTGTAAAGGTTCCAAAAAGCCACTGAAGCGAGACCATGTGTGGCAGACTCAGTTGGAGGCCACGTGAGGGGAGCCTGAGAGGCCACTGCATGAAACTCAAGGTGAAGCCTAGGCTGTAGTGGGGCTTCTGAGAAGAAAAGCCGTAGGCAGGGTGGAGTAGAGCCCAAGAGAGAGGCAGAGCTCCCCAAGTCCTTTGACTCCAGATGATTCCATTGCTAGCCCCAGATGCCAGACATAGAGAGAGCCTCAGGATTTGGTGTTTCCCCTTCTGGGTTGTGAATGAAAAAAAGAGGGGGGGGAGAGAGAGGAAATGGCATGGCTGCTCCTAGTTACGGTGCAGGAGAAAGTTTATTGTAAATAAAAGGAAAGAGCATAGCCAGGGACAGGGACATGGGGAGAGTCCAGAGTGGACATGACCCGACTGTGCCTCTGGGAGCATAAGCGAGAGAAAGCTGGCTGAGGGTATGATTCACCACTGTCTGCCCCTCGGCTGCTGATACAGTGTGACCAGCTAGCTACCTTATGCTCATCATAACAGGACTGCCACGATGGCCTGTACCTCAAACCCAGCCAAAATAAAACCCCTGCCCCTTAAGTTGCTTTTTTCAGGGCCTTTTGTCATTGCAACAGGAAAAGTAACTAAGATGTAAAATTGGTACCAGGAGAGGGGTTCCTGGGATGAATCTAACAGTGTGGTCTTTTGGAACTGGTTTGGGGGGCGGTATAGAAGAGTTTGGGACTTCAGGCTAAAAAATAAAAGTCCCTTGAGTGCTGAAAACATTTTGTTGCTGTGTTTTTGTGGTGGGGGTTGGAAGGAAAGCTAGAAGGCCAAGAGAAATGCAGGCAGTGGTTCACGAGAGTTCAAAGAGGAATAAGGATTATACGAGGCACAATTCTTGGTACATTCTGTCAAGGAATTTAGCTTTGTTCCGCCCATGCCCTGAAATTTTGTGTCCGGCTCAATCAAAGTATAATGG